CATCCTCATCCTCATCTGCGTTCTTGGTCTCATTTGCCCATCTTTTTCCTCTCTTCGACTTTCTCTTCTTTTCTGCCGCCCACTCTATTAAACTCTGCACACTCTTGCCCTACTTACCCTACCTTACCCTGCCTTTACCGGCTACCTTATCTCTACGCTTACGCCTACCTCACCACTGCCTTTACCCTACGTTCCCCTACATTACCCTACTTACCCTATCTTACCTACATTACCGCTTCCTTGCCTTATCCATTACTCACGCCATACCTTACTTACCCTACATTACCTTACGCTTATCCCCTAACCGTTTACCCTACCTTAGCCATACTTACCCTACTTACCCTACCTTTCACCATACCTTACCCTACCTTTACCCTACTTTCCTCTATCCTTACCGCTACGCTTTACCATACCTTACCGCTACCTTATCCTACTTACCCTACCTTAACCTACCGTACCCTACCTCAGCCCTGCATTCACACTACCTTACCCATCTTACTATCAGCATAATGCTTCTTTGCTGCTGCAGATTTAATTGAGGCGAAGGCGGTGGGAATTTCGACCTGCTGGTATGAGGAAAGAAGCAAGCTGCCGCGAACCCGACCTCAGGCCAACTTCATTCACGGCTTCTCTGTAACAGACGCATGAAGTAACGACGAAACCACTTCCGCGCTGTCGGTGACGTTGCTGCGCCACCAGGGCGCGCTGTTGCCGTGCTACTACGAGGGCGCGCAGGCAGTCCGTGGCCATTATGGCCGTATTTTGGCGTTTATTCTTTTTAGTTGGACGTTTTCATCGGAGTTTATTAAAAACTGTTTTTGTGTTTTTTTTTAAACAGTTTTTTCTTTGATTGGTGCTTGTTGTTGTTGATGTTGTTTTTTGTTGTTGTTTTTCTGGCTGTTATGGGTTGTTGTTTGTTGTCATTGTTTGTGCTGCTGTAATGTTTTCTCTTTGTTGCAAATTTTATTTATGCTGTATTGCTGCTGTCATCATTGTTGTTGCTATTTGTCAGCTGCTGATGCATTGTTGGCTAACATGTTTTGCTGCTGTTAATAAACATCATGCTACTACATGACGCATTAATCGATATATCATTGGGGGGGTGGGGTGGGGGGTGGGGGGCATTGTGGGGGGGGTGGGGGGGTGGGGTGGGGTGGGTTGGGGGGGGATCATTGGGAGGGGGAGGGGGTCATTGGGTGGGGGGGGGTGGGCATTGGGGGGGGGGGGTTGGGGTCATTGGGGGTTGGGTGGGGGGGGGAGTGGATTGGGGTGGGGAGGGTATGGTGGGGGGTGGGGGGGGGGGGTTGGGTTGGGGATATTGGGCGTGTGGGTGGGGTCATTGGGGTATTGGGGGGAGTGGCGGGGGTGGGAGGGGGGGAGGGGTCATTGGTGGTGGGGGGGGGGTGGGTGACGTGTGCGTGGAGGAGGGGTGGGGAGGGCATTGGTGGGGGGGGGGGTGCATTGGGGTGGGCTGGCAGGGGGGGTATTGGGGGTGGGGCATTGGGCGTCGCACGCATGATTCGGTGGCCGAGGAAGTCTCGTCTGAAGGAGGCAAGCAGGGAGTTGAAGGACGGAAGGATGGGCTTCCTCGTACGCGCACTTGCGCAGGAGCTGTCTGCTACCAGACGCGTACGTACAGCGGTATAACGGCAAAGTTTTTACGTGTTACTATACAGTTGTATATTATGATGTCGTATGCGTGCCAAAAGACATAGAGAGAATACAAGTCAAGAAGTATATACCGATGACTGATGATGTTTAATTTAGTTCACTTCACGCGGTAAAGGCACACGGTCGGCGTCCCTGGTAGGAAATTCCGGAAACAGCTCGTGTAGCTGTTTTTTATGGGCGCCCGCCCCCCGACGCGCCGAGTGGGCATGCTCACCCACGTGCCCCGCGCGCCAACCAACCAGCGTCCGTGCCGCAATCGCGCAGTTTTGCTTGGCCTTCACCACATTCGCTACCTGGACGGTGCGGCCCCTAACGGGGAAGAACGCCGCTATTCTTCCGTACCACGTCCAGGAGGTGGCTCCGTCTACAGCCGGCAGGAACCGCGTCATCGCGCGCCCACATGGCGCCGTGCGGGGTTAACAGCTTTTCACGGTGGCATTTTAACGGCATGTAATCCTTTAATCCGCACGAACATGGCGATACTTCAGCGGCTGACGCGGTTCCTAAAGGTCGGCATCGGACGTCAGCCACGCAGCATTCGCAAGCCTCGCCTCCATGCTAGGACCGGCACCACTGAATCACGCACGTAAGTGCGCGGCTAATTGGGGAGGGTGGTTTTAAATCCCCAACCAGCCTGGCGTGGGTGCCCGTGACGCTAGCGGTATCGCAGCAGCATGTTCGGCGTGGCGGGCCGACCATCTTTTGCTGTTCAGCTCGCCCTGCTAGCAGCCGGTATTGATCGCGCGTGTATGCTAGGGGCAACGCCGTAGAATGAATGGCCAGCAGGCCGTATTGATGCAGCGTGGTTGCTAAGGGGCAACGCCGTAGATATGAATGTTTTCGTCGACAGCGCAGCGATAGAAGGGGGGGGGAGTTGCCTTGGTAAGGGTGGTGTTACACCACGTAGTCGCCCCATGTCAGGGGCCATTTAGAGCAATTAATTAACATCTGCATATATTATATATATCTAACTATATATTTGAGTTCGTTATGTATGGATGTATGTATGTATGATGTATGTATGTAATGTATGTATGTATGTTATGTATGTATGTCTGTATGTAATGTATGTATGTATTATGTATGTATGTGATGTATTGTATGTAATCGTATGTATTATGTATGTATGTATGTGATGTATGATATGTATGTATGATATGGTAATGCTATTATGTATGTATGATATGTATGTAGTGTATGTTATGTATGTATGTATGGTATGTATGATGGTATGTATGTATGTATGTATGTATGCTATGTAATGTATGTATGTATGTATGTATGTATGTAGTATGGTATGTAATGTAATGTATGTATGTATGTATTGTAATGTATGTATGTATGTATGTATGTATGTATGTATGTAATAGTATCTTCGCCTAATAGGAGGCGGCCAACCGCCCAAGCGATCTGGATGGCAATTTAAGGGCCCATCTCTTATCGCCGGGGAGTGTTTCCTTAGCTGAAAAAAACCTGCCAAACCGTCAACTCACCGAACAATCCGTGAAAACCCTCAATTCCTGAATTTTCACAACAATGTCAGCACTGCTGTAACAGTGCTGCCACAGCAGAGAAAAATCGATCACCTCATTACAATGCAGGCTGCTGGTATTGTGAAAGCCGAAACCGAGGCACCGAGGGCTAAAACAGAGCACAGCCAGTTCAGAGTTTAGCGACTGCATTGTTTATCAACAAGGCTTTTTTGAAATGAGAAGGCGAAACCCATTCGTAGCATGCTGTTCGTGCGCGTACGCGCCATAGCGTCATGCCGTAGCGTGGGGAGCTCACAGTTCGAGACGAAAAAGGAATCTTTACATATTTCCCACCAGAGAATAACACGTAAAAAACATTGGTTTATGCAAGGGTTTCAATGAAAAGTGCAACCCATTCGTACATGGCTGTTTATAATAACTTTTTTGTCATTTATCAACCATATTTACGTAATTATGTTCCGCAGGGGTTTCTAAGTTGGGTTGTGCTGTCCTATAAATGTTGATACGTAACAGTTTTCCGCATGCTTATTATCGTTATTAGACTGATTTGCTAAATATTCATATTGTGTGGCAATGTTAATTGTGATTTTAGCCGAATGTTCCCTATTGTGTCCCATTATTAGTATGTATGAATTAGTAGGCACGACTTTTAGCCCAAGCGCAGCGGGTACGCCGCAGCTAGTATATATATATATATATGTGGTGTGTGTGTGTGTGTATGGATATGTATATACATGTGTATGTGTTATCAGAAATTTACGGAGTGTTCATTTGTTAATGACTTGGTTGCTTTGCTTGCTCGACTTTTCCTTTTGCGTTATATTCCTCTGTTTCTTCCCGGCACGCTAACTTCTATCATTGTTCCTCCATTCGCCGCTAACATTTCTCATTGTTCCTCCCATCGTTAACGTTTATCCATTGTTGTTTCATGCAGCTAATGGTATATGCCGTTTTCCTTCTCCCGTCCGTTCCAGCGCAGTTCATCGAGAAGAACAAACGCACTCCACGCGTCGCTCGCGATGCTTCCTTGTGCCGAGCGGTAACAACGCCTTCCTGCGCGCGCTGTTTCAGCCAAGGCTTCCGCGAAGGCTCTCCTCTCCCCTCCTCTCCTCCTCCTCCTGCCTCCTCTGGCGGCGGGAGAGGAGAGAGACGAGTGTACGCAAGGGAAAGCTGGCCTTCATAAGGCATTAGGAAACAAGTTTCGCACAGCAGCTCGGCAGCCTCATGGAGAAATCTACGGCAGTCGTGAGCAGGGGGCCGCCACTGGCGGGGTAAGGGGGACACACGGCGGGAGATCTATGGGTGGGTATGTGACACCACGAACATGTAGGAAAGCCGCGCTCTCTCCCTGCTATCTCCTCTGTCACGCCATAATAAAAATATTGTTTGTTTGTTTCACCCCGACCGATCCCGCCAAAAGGGCCGACTCAAAATTTTTATTGATCTTTGCCCATTCTTTTTTTTTACAAATTACATCCTTGCTTAGCATAATATAAATCTGTAAGGCATCTATAACTGGTACGGTAAGCAAAACAAGCATTTCAACAGAAAGTATCTCCACACACGCACACCCGAAGGCATGTGAACCAGCTGATTTGTAAAAAAGTTCCCTCAAAAAAGAAAAAGAAGCAGGCCACTAGCCTACGCCAAATTTTCAGCATTGGGTCGGGTGAGGGCCAACAAGATTTTTGTCTATTGTTGGTCACACACACACACCACCTCTCTGCTCTCTCTCTCTCTCTCTCTCTCTCTGCACACACAGGGCACCAGCTTCATACGCTACGCATCAGACGAATCAAACATGGGTCGGACACAAGGTATCGAAGGACGCGCAGTTCTCAGCCAGCTGGCAGTGGCTCCGGTAGTTGGCGCCAGCGTGGCGGATGCGCGTGCGTTTAGCGTGTTGGTTTCAGTAATATATTTCAGTAATGTCATTTTTTGATATATTTATTATGATGATTGACTAAGATATTGTGGTTTGTGTATGTTGTTTTGCATATCATGTTTTGTTATGTTAATATATAATGTTTCAGTCTGTGCATATCATATGTTTTGTTGTGTATTTATGAGCATTACGTTCTCTAGCTCATATCATGTGTTTTGTTGTGTAATATATAACCTTAGTCTCTCATATCCTATGTGTTTTGTTGTGTATATATAACCTTAGTTCTCATATCCATGTGTTTTGTTGTGTATATTATATGCCCTTAGTCTCTCCATTTATGTGGTTTTGTTGCGTATATATAACCTTAGTCTCTCCATATCATGTGTTTTGTTGTGCATATATGGCTTCAGTCCATATCATGTATTTTATTGTGTAGGTATGGCTTCGGTGCTCAGCCTCATGCAGCAGGGCTACCCGTCACGCGCCCAGTTCTCTGAGCTCTATAGCATGTACAGACAGTACCTTCCCAAGAAGCTCGCCAACCTGCCCCCACGCATGTTCTACAAGGTGGGTCAAGGTACTCTCCCTATCTCTCGTGCACACACTCAATCTCTCTTTCTTTTCTCGCTTTCTTTTGCACACTCGTGTTATCTCTCTCTCTCTCACTCTCGCTCTATCTCTCTCATTCTCTGTCCCTCTTTCTCTGTCTTTCTTTTCCTCTCTCTCTCGGTCTGTCTTTCTTTCTCTCTCTTTCTCTTTCTCTCTCTCTCTCTCTCTGTCTCTGTCTTTCGTTCCGTCCTCTCTCTCTGCCTGTCTTTCTTTCTTACTTTCCGACGTTTGGTCGAATGTCATCGAATAGAGGAAATCCTTGAATTTCAATTCGTTAATCGTTATCGTTATCGTTATCGTTAACTGTTAATCGTGTCTAGGGAGTTGAATCGATGGTCAAGTTAAAAAATCACGTGAATGACTTCTGTAGGTTTAGGTAAGAATCGTGTTTTACTGTTGTTTTAGTGTTTTTTTCTGTTTTTTGTGTGTGTTTTACTGTTTTTTTTTACTGTTGTTTGCGCGATGATTCACGTACGATGATGACGTTGCACGAGGTCAAAATATGCGCGCTCGCCCATAGATGGCGCTGATCGCTACGCAATGTCACAATGCGCTCGCTCAGCAATAAATGGCGCTCGTCGCTGTTTGTGCTCACCCATAGATGTCGCTGATTGCTGCTTGTGCTCGCCTATAGGTGGCGCAGATCACCGCTTGTGCTCGCCCATAGGTGGCGCTCATCGCCGCTCGTGCTCGCCCGTAGATGGCGCTGATTGCCGCTCGTGCTCGCATCGCTGCGCATTTTTCCGCAGGGTTCCGCTGAAAGTTTACGAGGCGATGAACGCTCGCGATGCGCTCACCCGTAGGTGGCGCTCATCGCTGCTCGTGCTCGCCCATAGGTGGCGTTGATCAATGCTTGAGCTCTCTTGTTTGTCCGCAGGGTTCCGCTGAAGGTCTACGAGGCGATGAACGCTCGCGACGCGCTCGCCAAGGCCATCTACGCGAAGCTGTTTGATTCCATCGTGCGTAAGATCAACGACTGCATCCCGCTCAAGTCATCGGCCAACTACATAGGCGTGCTGGACATAGCTGGGTTTGGTGAGTGAAGGAGAGGGGGAGAGGGGTAAGAAGAGAGAATGGAGAGGGAGGGGAAAGGATCGAGGTAGGAGGAAGAGTGAAATTGATTTCATAGTGCGTAAGATCAACGACTGCATCCCGCTCAAGTCATCGGCCAACTACATAGGCGTGCTGGACATAGCTGGGTTTGGTTAGAGTACCTACATAAAGAGAGTAGCGACAACTTCAGCACAGGCGCCATGTTTTAGCCAATGGACCGCGCGCGCCACCGCGCATACTAGTTATACTGTACGCAAATTAAGTCTTGCGTTTTTACTTTCTGCATTAACACAAACATTGCACAATATCCCAAATTAGCACAATCATATTTATAAATGTTTCTATAAACAGAAAGGCACCTGTGAATTGAAGTACGATGTTATTGAATCCTTCGGTGACTGAGTTCAATCATCGATAATCGACACACATTCGATACTCGCCAGTTTTTTTCTTAACCAAAAGTACGCCGGATGACCAAGGTGACATGGAGGGGCGAATTATCCCATTCTGCATGAGTTTGTCAACCTGTTGCTGAACAATGATTTGTTGCTCTAGAGCCATGCGGTAGGGCCTTGTTTTTTGAACGGCCGAGCATCTCCGGTGTGAATCTGGAATTCGCAGAGGTGCGTACACCCTAGTTGAGCATCTGTATGTGCAAATGAGCCTTCATGCTGGCGTAAAAATTTCAGAAGCATTGACTGATGGCGAGAATCCTGAACGTGATCGACGAGTGAGTTATAATCAAAGGGCGGGGTTGCACCATCATGTGCTGATAGATTAGCCTCGTTAGGCGTGGACGTGATAACTTGTATGTGGGGAGGGGTGGTGGCTTCAACTATTGCCACTACAGCATTACGATGTAGCGAGATTGCTCGATCTGAGCAATTTTCTAGCCGGCAGAGAATTGTGTGCTGCTCTGTGACTTCGACTAGAGACGGCAATAAGATGAGGTGGGGGTTACTACGAAACAATTTAAAGGCTGGGGATCCTTGAACAAAGAGTAGCGTGCCCGGGCGGAAATGGCGGGGGACGCGACAGAAACACTGGTGACCTGAATGAGGGGGCAACACGGTCGGACGATGAATGAAAGCGAGTTGAGGGGTGGGAAGGAGTCGTCTACCTCGACGGAGTTTCAGAGTGACGACACTATTACCTAGTGCGAGCACTCCTGTGTCGAAATCGATATTTACTCGGTTAGCCGATAGAAAGTCAGCTCCGATGATGAACTGTTGCCTTAAATCCTGAACTATGTAGCACCTATGGAGGGCGGTTACCCGTCCTAGTAGGATGCGTAAAGTGGCGGTGCCTACGAGGTGTAGCTTATCGCCTGTGACAGAAATAAGCATGGCGTCTGATGCGCAGACGGCGTTGAAACTAGCAGCTGTATGTATGTGCTGGGGTAAATGGAGCCATGCAGCAAAATCGATAAGAGTACAATCGCTACCAGTGTCAATGAGGGCCGTGAGTGAGAGTGAGCCGACTTTGAGATGGCACGTTGGCGCTGAAGATGTAGCGGTAGTCGGTGATGCGCACGCAGCAGATTCATGCGTGCCTAAAAGTTGTGAGGGTATGGCGGTGCGATTGCATCGCGGGGGCGTGGGTGAAAATCCTCTAAGCGGCGGCAAAGAGGGCAGTCACGCGCGTAGTGACCTAGTTAGCCGCACGCATAGCAACGAGTTTTGCGTCGGTCTTGGGTAGGTGGCGGTGCTGATGGTTGAAATGGGGTGCGTTGGCGCGAATCAGGTAGCAGATAAGCCTGATTACGAACAGGTGGGCGCTGGTCGCGTCGTGTGGGGGAGGGGTCGCCATTGGCGAGATCTGAGCTGATCGTCGCGGGGTGGGAGCGCCTGTGAACGTTGTTGGCGCGGGGGTTGTCGTGTCATGTTTCGTGATGATTCATTCATGGAGGGGGCTGAACCTGTGGCACTGCTTGAGTGATGAGCGTACGCAAGCCGCGTACCTCTCTAAACAGACGCTCCGATGGCGTAGGGTGTAGTATGGTATTGACATCCATAGGCTCCATCGTGTCGTAGGGATCAGCAAACGCGTCGCTACGGTTTTGTCGTCGTGCCACTAGAGATGACTCTAGTACGTGTTCGTCTGCTGCCAAGTCGATGGCATCGGTTAGCGTTGTAGGGGTGCGATGAAGCAACAGTCGCTGTGTATGGACCGATCTTAGTCCATTCAAAAAAATGTTGACGAGACGGCCCTGCGTCTCAGCTGTCGAAAGTTGCTCGACCGGAATCGCTCGCAACGTGAGAGTTAATAACCTATCGCCATACGGGCGGATATTTTCGCCACTATTCTGTTGGAAATTCTTAAACGCATTCTGCGCGTCTACCTCACGCAGCGGATCGCAAAAGCGCTTAGTCAGTTGTTCTGTGATCTGTTCCCAAGTCATAGCGGGCCTCTCAAGAAGGAGGCGGCGAGAGAACTCGGCAGCGTGTCCTCCGAGCGTTGATAAACCAAACACGCACAACGACGTAGCGTCGAGACCCAATTCTAACTGTCTCCAATTCAAAGTGCGGAGCCAGTCGTCGAACGTAATCGAAAGTGGCGCGTTATTGCCAGTGAATCGCGGAACCGAAGTCGCAGCTGCTGATTCGACGGTTGGGCGTAACGATTCGCTGAATACGTGTGCCAGGTCTGCGATATCGTATTGTAAGGGGTCGCCATTGGAAAAAGCGGGGTTAAAGCTGTCCCCGACAGTCACACGTGCACGAGCGAACGCGTTACGAAAGCAGGTACACACACACACACACACGCACACACGCGTCGCAATCGTATACACACACACACACACGCTCACGCACACGCACGCACGCACGCTCGCGCACACACGTTGCAGGCGTATTCACACGCACGCACACGCAGGCGCACACACGCGCACGCACACGCGCTCGCAAACACGCACACAGGCGTACACACGCACGCACAGGCGTTGACACGCGCACGCGGCGTACACACGCACAGACAGGCGTACACACGCACACACACGGGCGTATACACGCTCGCCTAGGCGCAAACACACTAGAGGTCACTGAATAGTAGAACGGAGTAACAGCAACTAGCAATTAGCAATGCCAGCTGTCTGAGCGCGCACTACATGCATACATGACGCGCACATGTCGGCAAGGGCGACTGTGAAGAAGCACATGACATAGAAGCAATGAATGAGGAACAGTGATATAGAAGCGGTAACTGAGAAGCTATGTAGCTATGTAGAAGCTATGTAGCTAGAGAATACGGTTGTAAATAACTAAATTAGAATATAACTTAACTAACCGGCAGCAGGCTAGTTTTTACATACCCGACCAAGGTACGGCGTGGCTATGAAGTTGTCAGTCACGGCGGCGGATGAAAGTAGAGTGATGATGACGCGATGCTATTTGTGATGACGGCACGTGAACGTAATAGTAGATAGCACCGCGGGTATGCTTGCAATAGCCCAGAAACGACCGCTCTCAAGGTACCAAAATATGTAGCGCAGAGTTTTACGTTACTATACAGTTGTATATTATGATGTCGTATGCGTAGCCAAAAGACATAGAGAAAGACAAGTCAAAGAATATATACCATGACTGATGATGTTTAATTTAGTTCACTTCACGGTTACAAGCACACGGTCGCGTCTGGAGTCAGGGGAGAATTCCCCGAAACAGCTCGTGCAGCTGTTTTTATGGGCGCCCTCTCACGTAATTCTTTAATCCCACGACATGGCGATACTTCACGGCTGACCGGTTCTAAAAGTCGCATCGCATCAGCCACGCAGCATCGCCGAGCCGAGCCTCCATGCTAGGGCCGGCACCACTAATCACGGCACGTACGCGCCGCTAATTGGGGAGGGTGGTTTTAATCCCCCAACCAGCTGGCGTGGGTGCCCGTGACGTAGCGGTACTCCAGCAGCATGTCCGGCGTGGACGGGCCGCCATCTTTGACTGTTCAGCTCGCCCTGCTAGCAGGCCGTATTGATCGCGCGTGGTTGCTAGGGGCAACGCCGTAGAATGAATGTTTTTGTCGACCGCCGATAGAGGGGGGGGAGTGCCTTGTAACGTGGTTGTTACACACGTGTCGCCCCATGTCAGGCCATTAGGCAATTAATTAACATTGCATATATAATATATATCTAATATATATTTGAGTTCGTATGTATGTATGTATGTATGTATGTATGTATGTATGTATGTATGT